ACTTTAATTGTTGTTCATTAGACAAAACGTTCAATATATGTGCTTTCGAGTGGCTTCCTGTTGTAAACAAGTCTTGTTGATGGAATCAACTTTAATTGTTGTTCATTAGACAAAACGTTCAATATATGTGCTTTCGAGTGTCTTCCTGTTGAAAACAAGTCTTGTTGATGGAATCAACTTTAATTGTTGTTCATTGGACAAAACGTTCAATATATGTGCTTTCGAGTGGCTTCCTGTTGTAAACAAGTCTTGTTGATGGAATCAACTTTAATTGTTGTTCATTAGACAAAACGTTCAATATATGTGCTTTCGAGTGGCTTCCTGTTGTAAACAAGTCTTGTTGATTGAATCAACTTTAATTGTTGTTCATTAGACAAAACGTTCAATATATGTGCTTTCGAGTGGCTTCCTGTTGTAAACAAGTCTTGTTGATGGAATCAACTTTAATTGTTGTTCATTAGACAAAACGTTCAATATATGTGCTTTCGAGTGGCTTCCTGTTGTAAACAAGTCTTGTTGATGGAATCAACTTTAATTGTTGTTCATTAGACAAACCATTCCATATATATGCTTTCGAGTGGCTTCCTCTTCTAAACAAGTCTTGTTGATGGAATCAACTTTAATTGTTGTTCATTAGACAAACCATTCAATATATGTGCTTTTGAGTGGCTTCCTGTTGTAAACAAGTCTTGTTGATGGAATCAACTTTAATTGTTGTTCATTAGACAAAACGTTCAATATATGTGCTTTCGAGTGGCTTCCTGTTGTAAACAATTCTTGTTGATGGAATCAACTATAATTGTTGTTCATTAAACAAAACGTTCAATATATGTGCTTTCGAATGGCTTCCTCTTCTAAACAAGTCTTGTTGATTGAATCAACTTTAATTGTTGTTCATTAGACAAAACGTTCAATATATGTTCTTTCGAGTGGCTTCCTCTAGTAAACAGATCTTGTTGATGGAATCAACTTTAATTGTTGTTCATTAGACAAACCATTCAATATATGTGCTTTCGAGTGACTTCCTCTAGTAAACAGGTCTTGTTGATGGAATCAACTTTAATTGTTGTTCATTAGACAAACCATTCAATATATGTGCTTTCGAGTGGCTTCCTGTTGTAAACAAGTCTTGTTGATGGAATCAACTTTAATTGTTGTTCATTAGACAAAACGTTCAATATATGTGCTTTCGAGTGGCTTCCTGTTGTAAACAAGTCTTGTTGATGGAATCAACTTTAATTGTTGTTCATTAGACAAAACGTTCAATATATGTGCTTTCGAGTGGCTTCCTGTTGTAAACAAGTCTTGTTGATGGAATCAACTTTAATTGTTGTTCATTAAACAAAACGTTCAATATATGTTCTTTCGAGTGGCTTCCTCTAGTAAACAGGTCTTGTTGATGGAATCAACTTTAATTGTTGTTCATTAGACAAACCATTCAATATATGTGCTTTCGAGTGACTTCCTCTAGTAAACAGGTCTTGTTGATGGAATCAACTTTAATTGTTGTTCATTAGACAAACCATTCAATATATCTGCTTTCGAGTGGCTTCCTGTTGTAAACAAGTCTTGTTGATGGAATCAACTTTAATTGTTGTTCATTAGACAAAACGTTCAATATATGTGCTTTCGAGTGGCTTCCTCTTCTAAACAAGTCTTGTTGATGGAATCAACTTTAATTGTTGTTCATTAGACAAAACGTTTAAAATCTGTGCTTTCGAGTGGCTTCCTGTTGTAAACAATCCTTGTTGATGGAATCAACTTTAATTGTTGTTCATTAAACAAAACGTTCAATATATGTGCTTTCGAGTGGTTTCCTGTTGTAAACAATCCTTGTTGATGGAATCAACTTTAATTGTTGTTCATTAGACAAAACGTTCAATATATGTGCTTTCGAGTGGCTTCCTCTTCTAAACAAGTCTTGTTGATGGAATCAACTTTAATTGTTGTTCATTAGACAAAACGTTTAATATATGTGCTTTCGAGTGGCTTCCTGTTGTAAAGCAAACAAGTCTTGTTGATGGAATCAACTTTAATTGTTGTTCATTAAACAAAACGTTCAATATATGTGCTTTCGAGTGGCTTCCTGTTGTAAACAAGTCTTGTTGATGGAATCAACTTTAATTGTTGTTCATTAGACAAAACGTTCAATATATGTGCTTTCGAGTGGCTTCCTCTTCTAAACAAGTCTTGTTGATGGAATCAACTTTAATTGTTGTTCATTAGACAAAACGTTCAATATATGTGCTTTCGAGTGGCTTCCTGTTGTAAATATGTCTTGTTGATGGAATCATCTTTAATTCTTGTTCATTAGACAAACCATTCAATATATCTGCTTTCGAGTGGCTTCCTGTTGAAAACAAGTCTTGTTGATGGAATCAACTTTAATTGTTGTTCATTAAACAAAACGTTCAATATATGTGCTTTCGAGTGGCTTCCTCTTGTAAACAAGTCTTGTTGATGGAATCAACTTTAATTGTTGTTCATTAGACAAAACGTTCAATATATGTGCTTTCGAGTGGCTTCCTCTTGTAAACAATCCTTGTTGATGGAATCAACTTTAATTGTTGTTCATTAAACAAAACGTTCAATATATGTGGTTTCGAGTGGTTTCCTGTTGTAAACAAGTCTTGTTGATGGAATCAACTTTAATTGTTGTTCATTAAACAAAACGTTCAATATATGTGCTTTCGAGTGGCTTCCTGTTGTAAACAAGTCTTGTTGATGGAATCAACTTTAATTGTTGTTCATTAGACAAAACGTTCAATATATGTGCTTTCGAGTGGCTTCCTGTTGTAAACAAGTCTTGTTGATGGAATCAACTTTAATTGTTGTTCATTAGACAAAACGTTCAATATATGTGCTTTCGAGTGTCTTCCTGTTGAAAACAAGTCTTGTTGATGGAATCAACTTTAATTGTTGTTCATTGGACAAAACGTTCAATATATGTGCTTTCGAGTGTCTTCCTGTTGAAAACAAGTCTTGTTGATGGAATCAACTTTAATTGTTGTTCATTAGACAAAACGTTCAATATATGTGCTTTCGAGTGGCTTCCTGTTGTAAACAAGTCTTGTTGATGGAATCAACTTTAATTGTTGTTCATTAAACAAAACGTTCAATATATGTGCTTTCGAGTGGCTTCCTGTTGTAAACAAGTCTTGTTGATGGAATCAACTTTAATTGTTGTTCATTAGACAAAACGTTCAATATATGTGCTTTCGAGTGGCTTCCTGTTGTAAACAAGTCTTGTTGATGGAATCAACTTTAATTGTTGTTCATTAGACAAAACGTTCAATATATGTGCTTTCGAGTGGCTTCCTGTTGTAAACAAATCTTGTTGATGGAATCAACTTTAATTGTTGTTCATTAGACAAACCATTCCATATATATGCTTTCGAGTGGCTTCCTCTTCTAAACAAGTCTTGTTGATGGAATCAACTTTAATTGTTGTTCATTAGACAAACCATTCAATATATGTGCTTTTGAGTGGCTTCCTGTTGTAAACAAGTCTTGTTGATGGAATCAACTTTAATTGTTGTTCATTAGACAAAACGTTCAATATATGTGCTTTCGAGTGGCTTCCTGTTGTAAACAAGTCTTGTTGATGGAATCAACTTTAATTGTTGTTCATTAAACAAAACGTTCAATATATGTGCTTTCGAGTGGCTTCCTGTTGTAAACAAGTCTTGTTGATGGAATCAACTTTAATTGTTGTTCATTAGACAAAACGTTCAATATATGTGCTTTCGAGTGGCTTCCTGTTGTAAACAAGTCTTGTTGATGGAATCAACTTTAATTGTTGTTCATTAGACAAACCATTCAATATATGTGCTTTCGAGTGGCTTCCTCTTGTAAACAAGTCTTGTTGATGGAATCAACTTTAATTGTTGTTCATTCGACAAACCATTCAATATATGTGCTTTCAAGTGGCTTCCTGTTGTAAACAAGTCTTGTTGATGAAATCAACTTTAATTGTTGTTCATTCGACAAAACGTTCAATATATGTGCTTTCGAGTGGCTTCCTCTTCTAAACAAGTCTTGTTGATGGAATCAACTTTAATTGTTGTTCATTAAACAAAACGTTCAATATATGTGCTTTCGAGTGGCTTCCTGTTGTAAACAAGTCTTGTTGATGGAATCACTATAAGCTTACATATATCCTTTATGTGTTAATCTTTGAACATAGGTTTTCCATTTCCGATGAAGTTCCCAGAGACTGATACTTGAATTGGAAAGACAGATTTTGTAATCAAAGTAATCTAGATCTTTTTGAAGATAAATACCGTTTCCAATCTGTTGTAAGTGTGATAATCGAAGATGTATACTGTAAGCCATTAAAAACGCAATTGGTATGTGTTGCCCTGAAACTCACAGAAGTTCTATTGAAGAGTTTTGCCTGCGATATAGAGGATGTAGGGATAAAACGCTATTATTCTGGCCCATTTCGAGTTCGAGCCCCGGAGCATTCCTCTTACATGAACTTAGATACTGAAAACTGAACCTTTGACATTTCTCGTAAACACAACCACATTCATGAAACACTTTGTGCACATGCATTACCTGCACCCAGGCCCTGTAAAATCACAAGGAATTGTGGAACTCAATCACTTTGAGAAAATGCCACACTTGACACAAGACGAAAGGAATCAGGTTATCGGTATGGTCAACCAAGGTGCTTCAGATGTGATGATTGCCAGGCACTTTAATGTGCATCCATCCACTGTAAGTCGATTCAGACAACGTTTTTTGGTGCACCACCTGTGATAACCCCTCCTTTGTTTGAGACTGAGGTCAGGCGACGTGGAAGGTCATGGAAGCACTGGAATGTTTTCATTCTAAAAATACTGAATAGTGGCATGTGCTCTGTGAGGTCTTGTTTGAACAATGATCAGGACGATGTGAATCCTAAGATTAGTGCACGCTGGGCCGAAATAAGGTTTCTGGGCGATAAAAACTCGTCAGCTCCGACACTTTTCTCAAACCATGTACTCTACTTGCAGATGCAGTTGCTGTGACAGTCCGGATACGCAAATGAAGAACACGGATGTACCTATCCTGCGTTGCAGAAGTAATCCAGGGTCTACCACTTCCTGGATAGGTTCGTTGTTTTCTGTCCCATAAACAACCGATGTTTTTGTTTGTTTGCTTGCTTGCTTGCTTGTTGTTTAAACGCCGCATTCAACAATATTCGAACTATACGGCAGCGATCTGTAAATCGAGTCTGGATCAGACAATGGAGCTCTTAACAGCATGAGCATCGATCTACGCAATTGGGATACGATGACTTGTGTCAACCAAGTCAGTGAGCCTAACCACCTGATCCCGTTAGTCACCTCTCACCTTCAAGAATGGGTTACTGAAAAGCAATTCTAACATTGATCTTCACGGCTGGACTGATAGTACTGTGATGAACATTAAGGAGGCGTGCCCCGGCAGATCGAAGTTTTCCAGCCTCTAGACATACTAGTACTATGGCAATGTTTCGATTTATCGGACAAATCAATTGTCCCAGAGAATACGTAAAGACTGTTTGAATTATGTCTGTTTTAAAATAATACGTTGCTTCAACAAGATACATAGTTTCAAGAACATATTAATGTTCATATATTGAAGTTAGAAAAATAATACGTTTGATAGCTGTCACCTAAACATACGAATTCACCATACGGAAGTCCCAAATAGGTCTCACCTACAATTGTGTCCTTTTCAGTCACACTGGTCCTGGGTTTGCTCGTGTGTTCCGCACGCTTCATCTCATCAACTGAAGGTATGTAACGGTGTCAGTAGACAGTATCCTAGTCATACTGATAGTGGTCATGTGACGTACCGAACCAGGGTTGACTGAAAGTATGTAACGGTGTCAGTAGACAGTATCCTAGTCATACTGATAGTAGGCATGTGACGTACCGAGCCATGGTTGACTGAAGGTATGTGACGGTGTCAGTAGACAGTATCCTAGTCATACTGATAGTGGTCATGTGACGTACCGAACCAGGGTTGACTGAAAGTATGTAACGGTGTCAGTAGACAGTATCCTAGTCATACTGATAGTAGGCATGTGACGTACCGAGCCATGGTTGACTGAAGGTATGTGACGGTGTCAGTAGACAGTATCCTAGTTATACTGATAGTGGTCATGTGACGTACCGAACCAGGGTTGACTGAAAGTATGTAACGGTGTCAGTAGACAGTATCCTAGTCATACTGATAGTAGGCATGTGACGTACCGAGCCATGGTTGACTGAAGGTATGTGACGGTGTCAGTAGACAGTATCCTAGTTATACTGATAGTGGTCATGTGACGTACCGAACCAGGGTTGACTGAAAGTATGTAACGGTGTCAGTAGACAGTATCCTAGTCATACTGATAGTAGGCATGTGACGTACCGAACCAGGGTTGACTGAAGGTATGTGACGGTGTCAGTAGACAGTATCCTAGTTATACTGATAGTGGTCATGTGACGTACCGAACCAGGGTTGACTGAAAGTATGTAACGGTGTCAGTAGACAGTATCCTAGTCATACTGATAGTAGGCATGTGACGTACCGAACCAGGGTTGACTGAAGGTATGTGACGGTGTCAGTAGACAGTATCCTAGTTATACTGATAGTGGTCATGTGACGTACCGAACCAGGGTTGACTGAAAGTATGTAACGGTGTCAGTAGACAGTATCCTAGTCATACTGATAGTAGGCATGTGACGTACCGAGCCATGGTTGACTGAAGGTATGTGACGGTGTCAGTAGACAGTATCCTAGTTATACTGATAGTGGTCATGTGACGTACCGAACCAGGGTTGACTGAAAGTATGTAACGGTGTCAGTAGACAGTATCCTAGTCATACTGATAGTAGGCATGTGACGTACCGAGCCATGGTTGACTGAAGGTATGTGACGGTGTCAGTAGACAGTATCCTAGTTATACTGATAGTGGTCATGTGACGTACCGAACCAGGGTTGACTGAAAGTATGTAACGGTGTCAGTAGACAGTATCCTAGTCATACTGATAGTAGGCATGTGACGTACCGAGCCATGGTTGACTGAAGGTATGTGACGGTGTCAGTAGACAGTATCCTAGTTATACTGATAGTGGTCATGTGACGTACCGAACCAGGGTTGACTGAAAGTATGTAACGGTGTCAGTAGACAGTATCCTAAGTGTCATTAAAAGAATCGAAAAAGACTCTCTCTCTCTCTCTCTCTCTCTCTCTCTCTCTCTCTCTCTCTCTCTCTCTCTCTCTCTCTCTCTCTCTCTCTCTCTCTCTCTCTCTCTCTCTCTCTCTCTCTCTCTCTCTCTCTCTCTCACGTCTCCTCCCTCCCTCTCCCTCTCTCTCTCTCTCTCTCTCTCTCTCTCTCTCTCTCTCTCTCTCTCTCTCTCTCTCTCTCTCCTCTCTGACTCTCTCTCCTCTCTCTCTCTCTCTCTCTCTCTCTCTCTCTCTCTCTCTCTCTCTCTCTCTCTCTCCAGCCATAAATTATGACCGGTCCCTACACGTGTGTTCCAGTAAACGGGACTCACTGCGTCAGACCGTATGACACTCCCCCCTGTGACTGTAAGGTAGGCTGGTACGGCGACAAGTGTACGGAGAACTGCAGTTCGACATGTAGTAGCGGATACGGCTGCAACAAGACGACTGGGAAATGTGTGTCGTGCAAAGCTGGATATCACTCTTTCAACTGTACGTTGAAATGTCCACCAAACTGCTTGAATGAGTCAGGACAACCAGCCGCATGTGACAAGGACACTGCCCATTGCACCAACTGTCAACCAACTTGGTGGGGATCCAAGTGCACGAACAAATGTGATAGCAACTGTAAGAATGGAGTTTGTGACTTTGTGAATGGACATTGCCATGAATGTGAAGTGGGTAGAACAGGAGAGAACTGTTCAGAAGAATGTCCCAGTGATTGTTGGCGCCGTCTGTGTCACAGAGACAACAAGACTTGCACTGGTGGATGTACCCCGGGGTATTTTGGGGAGACGTGTGATAAGAAGTGTGGCGGTAACTGTAAGGAGGTGGAGTGTACAGTCAATGGAACAACAGATGCTTCCTCCAAGTCAATGTGTGCTAGGTGTACGGGCACCGGGCAATGCCATTCCTGCAAGTCTGGGTACTGGGGAGATATTTGTGACAAACTGTGCCCGGAACAGTGTACAGAGTGCGCACAAAACAACGGCACTTGTGGCAGCGGCAGCGGCGGCGGCAGCAGCAGTAGTAGTGACAGGATTACTGGTAGGTATAAGACAATAGTAGAACAAGATCCCGATCCACAAAGCATTCGTAGCGCTACGACATTCGTACGTTTACGATCAACTATAGAGTTACGGCAGATCGTAACGTTACGAACGCTTTGTGAACCCGGACCTAGGGACCCGTTTCACAAAGCTGTCGTAGCGCTACGACTGTCGTACCTCCTATACTGTAACGTAGACTTACGACAGACGTAGAGCTACGATAGCCTTGTGAAACGGGGCCAGGACAAGATTTGTGGGGGGTAAGCGTAAGAACCTCTTCCGCAACAGTGTCCAGGAGGATTCACGTAAAGTGAGCTATCACTAAAACTGAAAAGATTTTCGGTCTGCAAATCTTTGAACGCAGATGATTATACGTTTATAAATGAGAGTAATATATTGTTAAGAAATGAAAACTTACATTGTTTACATAATTGACGTCAATCAAAGTTAAGAAAACAAAGAGTCATTGTTGGTCCTCGTTGTTATTTTGTCATGCAGGGCAAAGACGCATGTTATGAATAGTTGAACCGAAATTACATCCACTGTTTTTGTGAAATGTGTGTGAACACAATACATGTAGATCTTGTCACATCAGGGAAAGCCTCAAACACAACGGGTTTATATTGGCTTTAGTGTAAAGTGGGTGGTACTGTGTACTGAGACACGCAGTTGGATTCCTTACCACTGGATGTGGAATGAACGTTCCATCCTCCAGGCATTTTAGTAATTCTCAAAATCGATTGGTCAGTGGGGTTGATATGACTTCACGTGGTTTCATGTTTGACATCATGTTTGTATGACGTCATCCATTGTCCATGACGTCTTATATTGATTGCATGACGTAACGAAAGTTAATCTATTTCAAGGACATAGAGAGGGAGAGATTGCTGGTTCTGTAACTGCGGTCATCCTTCTTGTAGTAGTTGCAGCTTTCGTCATATATCTTGTAAAAAGGACACGGGGCTGTAACAGGTGAGACTGTATTTGGCGTTCCCAGTGTATGTTGTCAATGATTGTTGTGTTTCCATTACATTGTGATAAATAACCTGAATCTACAGTCTACCATGATACATGCGTGAACACTTTTTAAAGCCCTAACATGAAAAATAACCATCAATTATAAATTTACTTTCACTTTGCATAAGATCATTGGACTGTGAACCTCTATATTTATTGGCCGTGACTCTATCAAGGTTCATTCTCCAATGAATTGACACAAGGCAAAAGTCACTTGTTAAAGTTTTTATTCCACAATGTCATACTTTGAGGGATGTATCACACAGTTTCATGTTGTACTTGTGACATTGTTCACACTGACAGCCGTACAACGACCAACTGTGACACGGAAAATATATAGGTCATCAAATGCAGATGTTAACGTAGAGTATGTATTCTTAACTTGTCCATGAGCATATTCTGTAGTTTTGTTACAAGAAATAGGTTCAAATAATACCACCATTAGATGACAAAATGCATTAAGAAATACCTTAGTAGGCCGACCGCGCGTCGATATACAGTTTTAATCAAATACACAGGGGGCGTAGGAACAGAGGGGGCTTAGCCTCCTAACGTTTTTTAAGACGAAACCATATCTACCTTACCATAACTACAATTTCGTTTGGATTTTTTGAATACTTTTCATAAAATAGCTCCCCCTCCTATAAACATAATTTTAATATAAGAGGGTCTAATGATCAGAAACAAAGCCTTTGTATTTATTCGTGCTAGGGAATTCCAAAGGATTTCCACAGGAATATTGCAGTAGCCAACTAGTGTTTACGTCATTTCAAGAATACGTTCTCGTGGAGAACGTGTGGAAGTCAATATGTTTTGTTCAAACACCTTCAAACATTATGTGACCGAAATCTCATCAAATTAAAAGGATAAGCCGCATTGAGTTTTAATGTAAACTTTACATAAGATTTTATATCAGTTTACAAACATGAACCAGACAAAATCCCAATATCCCAGATATACGACGAATTTCAGTAAATTATTGAGTCTGACCCAGATAGTCCAAAGATTGTCACAATGAGCATAGATTCAGAATTGTGTATGATGAAATATGTTAACCAAGTCAGCCTAACCACCCATCCCTCACTTACAAGCATTGAACGAATGCATAATGCACTGGGTAAACATGATAGAATACAACGTATTGTATTTAACGGTGATTTACATCAAGAAGTCCGGTTGATGTAGACAAAAGGAAACTGAAAGTCACGGCATTCTTTCGCATCATTTGTGGATGCTGTAAGGAGCACAAAACCGAAATCTCACCCGTTTTCTTTTGGGGATTGATATTTTGCTGCAATAAACCGGTGAGACGGTGCTTAATTATTCATTTAAGCGGTATCCCTTTTTTGTGACTCAAATTATGTGCTAATATCTGCTTTTCGGTAGCGGCAAATTGAGTTGAGGAAAATTGAGTTAAGCCTTTCGTTTGGTCGGTGGGCTCGCCTGTTGGTATTAATGTTCACTCGTACCATCGGAAGCACGATTCCAGATTTGGAAACATGAAGTATGAAACCAATTTCTGGTGAATCTCTGGTTTCTCTCTCTGTGATATTGTCGGAATAAGAAAACGACGTAACGCCTTTCTCAGGCTCTCGCACACTCACACACTCACATATTCACACACTCACATACTCACTCACACACTCACATATTCACACAATCACATATTCACACACTCACTCTCACACTCACATATTCACACACTCACATACTCACTCTCATACTCACTCACACACTCTCACACTCACATATTCACACACTCACTCTCACGCTCACATATTCACATATTCACACACTCACTCTCACACTCATATATTCACACACTCACATACTCACTCACATATTCACACACTCACTCTCACACTCACATATTCATACTCACATACTCACTCACACACTCACTCTCACACTCCCACACTCACTCTCACGCTCCCACACTCACTCTCACACTCACACTCTCACTCTCACACTCACTCACACTCACACTCTCACTCACACACTCACTCTCACACACTCACTCTCACACTCACATACTCACTCTCACACTCACGCTCTCATACTCACACACTCATTCCCTTAGTTATTATTCACATTAAAACAGTATGAAGAGGTGGTGAGAAGCTGATTAATCTTATATTCATGTATACCTTTCAGTCTGTTAGGGCGATGTCGAGGAAGACGGCAGTCTGAAGTCGACGAAAATGTTATGAAGAACTTAGGTAGGACATATACATGTACAAGTCTCATTTTCAACTCGTATTCTATCACGTTTTGTTGTTATGATTAGTGTGCCGTAAATGTTTATCAATGAACATATTTATATTTTTTTATATTATATTATTATTTTTTGTGGAAGCTTTTGAAACAGATTAAACAAATATTATTACGAACTCTATTACGGGACTGCTAATTTTAGTTCGTTATAGCAGTATTTCATCTAAAAAACGTATTTCGTCAAAAATACGAATTTTCTAAAATACGTACTTCGTCTAAAATACGTACTTTGTCTAAATACGTACTTCGTCTCAAATACGTATTTCGTCTAAAATATACAGGAAGTGGGTTGACCAAACAGTTCGTTATATCCCGCATTTCGACATAAGCGTGAATGTTATAAAAGCAGTTTTCTGCACAGTACTGTACTGCGGGCTTCTATGTTTCTAGCTCAAAGCTCAGGTGATAACACCGTGGAAGTGTGACGATGATGGACCAGTATTAACTGAAGAAAATACACGACTCCATGTGTAGTGGAGACGATCGAGGAACAGATGACCTGTTTTATGCTGCACGTTTTCCGTTTTCACTGGGGGCGAAGGGGTAGCCTAGTGGTTAAAGCGTTCGCTCGTCACTCTGAAGACCCGGGTTCGAGTCCCCACATGGGTACGATGTGTGAAGCCCATCTGCGGTGTCCCCCGCCGTGATATTGCTGGAATATTGCTAAAAGCGGCGTAAAACTAAACTCACTCACTCACCTGGTGTCATCACTGAGTTCTTCAGTGATTCATTCATTTTATCTTTTTCCTAGGTGCACACTGGAAACTGTTTATTTACTGAACATTATAAAAGTGTCTATTCATTTTCACTGATGACACGAGAGGAATTGACATTAGGGTATTTTCAATAAAACATACCATAAAATAAACCAACTGCTTATTTACCACAGTCAACAAGCTATCTATTTTTGACATATGTTGAACATTCTGCGACTCGCAGGCACGCAAACACACTCGCGATCGCGCATTTATAGAAATAGATTGAAAGCCCTCTTTGACCAATGAAATCTGTTTCATTGGATAATTAAGAATCTAGCGTTGATATTGTATATTTTTGTGTCAAATGTACAGCATTGTGGTAACCTGTAATGTGATCACTTGCTTAATAAATGTACGTCGTACTGATAAAAAATTTAAACGGTTTGTATCCGTTATTTATTATCCATTAGTTTTCTTTAAAAGTTAATGCCAATTCAAGATATTTTACAATGTAGTGTACTGTGTGGTGGCCAAGGACAACCAGTTCTAAATACAACTCGGCTGGGTGTTGTGGTAAGTCTCTTCAAGTGATTAAACTCGAACAGGTACATGGTAGGTCCATGGAGAGTTTGGGGCAGCTCTAATTTCCTAATCTTGATGCATATCTCCTTCCAAAACGTATTTCTTTACTGTTATTGAGATTTAGACCATGTAACCATAGTTTACCTATTGAGACGGGCCGCTGGTATAATATTCCAAGAGATGATAGAACGTGTCATTTGTGCACTTCTCAAAGCATCGCAGATGAATATCATTATATTTTTAATTGCAAAGTACTAGATACCTTGAGGAAACAATATTTACCCACTGGCGTAGCTACCATTATAAAAACAGCTAGGGCTTGCACATGATTTTTGCTATTATAGTTGGGAAAGCCCTCAATACTATGTAAATATGAAGTTTTGCAACCTATCGGGCTTACACGGCGAAAATAATGGCTTGCTACGCGTCTTTTACCCACTCATCTAACCTCCCAATATAACAAAGTTTACAAAAATATTATCTGCCAAAAAATCTCTAGACTTAGTAAATTTTAAAAAAAAATCATACATCTATCATCTCTTGTCCGAAAATTGTTAATTTGTTGTTGTCTTTTGTTTATCTGCTATCTTGAATTTGTGTATGTAAATATGTTTGATATGATATATGCTCTTGTACCACCAAGGTGGTTTATGAGAATAAAGAATTGATCTGTGGGCGCTGGAATAGCCTAGTCTTTAAAACGTTGGTTCGTGCGGCGAAGGTCATGGTCCGATTGTCAGCACGGCGAGCTGTGTGATGCCCATAGCTAGTGTCTTGAAATAGTTGGAATATTGCTATATGTCCCGCAAAATCCCTCAAAACTTTAACTTTGTTTATGACGATTACCACCGGTGGGGCGGGATATGCTCACCTTTTCGCGAACACTTGGTATCATTGAGATATAGTGATTCATAAACACACGCTTTCTGTCATTGTATCGCATCATGACAATCACTGCATTGTCTGGCCCAGACGCGATTGTTTACAAACAACATCGTACAGTTGCAATACAGCTAAAACAAATACATACTCACGATATTGTCAGAAATGTTCAATCGAGATTCTCATGGACGTGGAAATGGTTTTGTTGCTTCTATGTAACAGAAAATACGTACGCACCTTACCCATAAATGTCATGGTTCCGCATGATGGCTGTAGAGTTCCACTGCATCAGAAAATATACAGTCACCGATCGCAAGCTCAACTCTCATATACATGTATTTACTATGGGATAAATGCCGTAACGAATGTTATTGAAGGCGAATGCTGTGCACGTGAAAATGGTGCTGTCACGTGATTCAGAGGTGATTTGGGGTTTCTCTCGTTTCCTTATGGAGTCCCCAGAGTTGATTCTATTGAAGATCTCCAAAACCAACGTCAACCCAACACTGCTCAGGAAGCTATGGAAGATATTTCAACATTTGTAATACTAAATGGACTGTAAGTAAAAACCTTTTAAACGTGTAATGATTCATCAAACTGAGGAGAGGGCTTCCTCTGTGACCAAGAGAGCTTGTAAAGATTTGGATTCTTCACAGTTCAGATTTATAGGAAATCAGGCGCAATAGAAGTTGACTCTGCTATTCGACTTCTTAATTGGCACAACACAAATGGTTGTATGCATCTCATGAGAGAAATTAGCTCTAACAACACAAAATGAAACAACACATAAGACTTGCAGACAGGTCTGCAGTTCATTCAACTGTAGTCTCAGACCTTTCAGGGAGATGAACTGGCTTCAAATTAGGATGAGGACAGAGTATTCTCCATACTCTTCTGGTAGATGGTTATTCCTATGCAGCTGTCCCAAATCCCTATAGTGAATTTTAAGAACAGACCCCTCAGGTACAGCAGATTCAACCCTTTCGTTTTCAAGCTAGGACAACACAAATCATCAATACCACCTTTCCGGAGGTTATGGTCACTGGGGAGTCTCCTGTCCCTTTGGAGCCTCCCAGAGGCCATCAAACCCATCTACTGTCAACCCACCACAAGGACGGATTCCTTTGTTTGTAGTTTAACGCCACACTAAGCAAATATCTTCTCGCTTTTTTCGAATAAGATACTTGGATTGTGTCTGTTCAGTGCGTCACATATGCGCCACAATCACCAATTCTTTCAGCTATTTGGCGGTGGTCGGTAAATATTCTATCGTGAGCATCGATCCACACAGTTGGGTCACGATGACATGCATTGAGTGAGCGAGTCTGATCAGCTGGGCCCTGTTCCACAAAGCGATCGTAGCGCTAAGGTGATCGTAACTCCCATACTCTAGCATAGACTTACGGCATTAGTAGCGCTAAGGTGATCGTAACTCCCATACTCTAACATAGACTTACGACAGGCATTCGTTATAACGATCGCTTTGAGAAACGGGGCCCTGGTACGCATGGTTGCCTCTTACCACAAGTACGGACTCCTGAAGACAAATTGCAATCTGGATCTTCAGGGTGATGTAAAACATACCTTGTACTTAGTTAACCTCATATGTTTTTATGGACGTGTACCACTAGTTGCTACATGCCAGTCACTTTCTCCTTCATAGGAATAGTGGATTCGGAGGAGCGTCATGCTGTGACCATACACCGGGACCTTCAGTGCAAATAGTCTGAGTGGAGCTATCGAGGGACCTATAGGTGCTCTATATAATAGACTAGAACTATACTTCCTGTTTAGTTTACTTACTAGTTTAGTTAAGCTTAGTTTGTTAGGGGCGGTGGGGTAGTCTAGTGGTTAAAGCGTTGGCTCGTCACGACAAAGACCCGGGTTCGAATCCCCACATTGGTACAACGTGTGAAGCCCATTTCTGGTGTCCCCCGCCGTGATGTTGCTGGAATATTGCTAAAAAAGGCGTAAAGCCAAACTCAGTCAGCCAGTCAGTCAGTCAGTGAGTTAGCTAGCTAGCTAGTTAGTTGTTTCGTTTTGATCTCCAAAAACATTCAATGTTAAAGAAAGTATTATGTAATAAAACCACTAAGCATTTAAAGAACTTAAAGTCATTTCGGAATATATTGTTTAAATTGCTTAAGTAATATTCAATGATCCTGCCCAGTCACTTGCCGTGTAAATATTTGTTCATCCATGCATACATATATATTCTCATTCTCATGGTTGAGAAATACTGTTCTGTCTGTCTGTCCGTCTGTGTGTCTGTTAGTGTGGATGTATGGATAGTGTGGGTGTAAGCTGTATGTAGGATAGTCTTGAGATGAATGAGAATCCATTAGTGGGAGTGTAAGCTGTATGTAGGCTAGTCTTGAGATGAATGAGAATCCATTTGTGTGGGTGTAAGCTGTATGTAGGCTAGTCTTGAGATGAATGAGAATCCATTAGTGTGAGTGTAAGCTGTATGTAGGCTAGTCTTGAGATGAATGAAAATCCATTAGTGTGAGTGTAAGCTGTATGTAGGGTAGTCTTGAGATGAATGAGAATCCATTAGTGTGGGTGTAAGCTGTATGTTGGCTAGTCTTGAGATGAATGAGAATCCATTAGTGTGGGTGTAAGCTGTATGTAGGGTAGTCTTGAGATGAATGAGAATCCATTAGTGTGAGTGTAAGCTGTATGTAGGGTAGTCTTGAGATGAATGAGAATCCATTAGTGTGGGTGTAAGCTGTATGTAGGCTAGTCTTGAGATGAATGAGAATCCATTAGTGTGGGTGTAAGCTGTATGTAGGCTAGTCTTGAGATGAATGAGAATCCATTAGTGTGGGTGTGGGGGGTTACCAAGATGAAGCGTCAAACAAAACGGGGATCATCAGGATGGAACATTGCAAAAGCAATTTGCTTGAGGTTGATAGATAATATGCAGAAATATAGAATATAAAAACAGCTGCATTTGTACAATTTTCTAGGTTAGGCTGACTACTTTTGGGACGACCCTCGCAGAACGGTCAATGTCTTTCCAAGTTGTATTATGCAAACAATCTATCAAACAATCTGTTCACTTTTACTATTAACTCAAAACATTTTGACGTTTGGCTGTTCCTGCTTGGACAAGCTACAACAATTCAATAATGCTAACAGGTGATGAGTTTTATTTGACTGTTTGAAAGATGTTGGGATAAGTGGCAGGTTTTATAATAGTTTGTTGTCAATGTATTCAAATCTCTCAGCTTGTGTTAGAACACCCAGTGGTCTCACCTACAGTTTTAAATGTAATCAAGGCTGTATATTAAGCCCCCAGTTATTCATTCTTTTCATTAACAAACTCTACTCAGTTTTTGAAACATTTGGTGGAAATATCAATATAAATGTGGATGATCTTTATGCATTAATGTTTGCAGATCATCTGTCTGGAATTGCTGACATTGCACTTCAATTACAGAAGAGGTTAAATGCCCTAGA